GCTGCCTGTGCACTGGGCGCTTGGCGGCCATAGCCGGGCTGCATAGGGCGCACAGGGGAGGTGAGGGCGAAGGTGGTTCTTCGGAGGTGAAGGGCTTTGTGTGGGTAACAAGAGAGAGTGTGGGTAAAGAGGACACGTACCTGGTGGAGGTGGAGGTCGGCATTGGTGTTGACATCATCACTCGCTGGTAGTCAAGTTGTCTGGTTGCTTTCATTGCTGTAGTTGTAGGCTTAGTCGGTAGAGTAGATAGGGCGCCTGGCGCCATTCATAAGAGAGAGCTACATTGGGTTATGCTGTTGGTGTTGCCCTGTTGGGCATGGACATTGACTCACGATTCTTCTGCATCATTCTCAATTGGATGGTTACTCGGTTCCACTGTGCTATCTGCTCTGGCTTTGACTACTTGGACTTCAGTGTGATTTTGCATTCTGGATTTCTGTGCTTCGTCCATATTCATGTTCCTTGCAATTTGGTATTGGAGCTGGTTTGATTCGCCACTTACCTTTGGCACACTGGCGTTATACAGACTTGGTGCGTTGACGATGCTTCTTCGCAGTGGGTACTTGTGACGTCAGGCCACAATAGGCGCACGCCCTGGGTAGAGAGGGGTGCGCCGGAAGGCTAAGACGGCGGTGTATGCCGTGGTGACATGCGGAATGTATGATTGGTGATGAGAGCATGCTGATGTGGCATTCGGCTAAGGTGGCACTGCATTGCGTTGTGGGTGGTACCGAGGCCAAGACCGGTCATCAAATGCACACTCAGCTCAATTGGTGAGAAATCTGTGGTTGGGGGCAGCTATCTCCAGGTACGTTGTTCCCTTACCTTATCTACTCTCTCAATCTCTTCTTACCGCGAGGAAGTGAGTCCAACTTGAGAGTCCTCTCTTTTGGTGAGGTGTCGTGAGCGCGCTACCTGGAAGGAGAAAGGGCGGTGCCTCTGAAGGGCCCTGGTCGAAGCACTGGGTCACGGTCACCATGCCAACCCAATGGGAGTAGGTCACGCATGCGAGGGCTGCTGTCCATTATGGCACTTGCTGCACTAAATAGAAGTCCTGCCGGGTGTGCCAGCCTTTTATGAGACGCTTACCAGACCATCTATAAGCATTTCTGGTTGGGGACTTAGATTGATTCTGGCTGTGATCGTCGTCTTGACTGCGACGTTAAAGAATTCCTGAAGAGATGGGGGCGCTCTATAAATTCCTCCTGATCAGCCAGATCAACCGGGTGTAAGGCTCGTTTCCGTGCGAGGGTAAATAAGAGTGGACTGGCTGGCTTGCTCGGCTACGACTTGGGCACAGGGGTGGGCCGATACACACACGGAGACACTGCTCGCTCAAAGATGCTTACCGGTATGTTGGATTGAGGGGAAGGGTAGGTTCTAATTGGTGCTCAACTGAATACACAACCATACCCACTCATCATACATCTGCTACATGGTCTCTTTGTATTCTTGATTAGTTGGTGGACAGACTGCTAACACCTCACAGACAGATTAGATTAGGACTGTTGTATGCTACCATAGCCAGTTCTGTCTAATGATGTTGTAAGTGAACCAATCACAATCAGAGTACATCTAGACAATGTAGACAATCTGTTGTGAATGTTGTAGACATGGCACTTGATCGGTACAGTAGGGGACTTGCCGGACACAACTATTTTTAGAAAATTAGGTGTCGGTCAGACACATGCTGTGGTAGGATTCCGCTAGGGGATTCTAGTGCAGAAACTGTCTGCCTAACTGATGAGCGGAACAGATCCTGTTGATGATAGAGCAGACAATAGGAGACTAACACGTGCGGAAACACTTAGGGTCCCACACGTGTTCCAGGCCCTACAACCGGGAGACGAAAGACGGCTTATAGTCGAACGTAGAGCCCGTGCACTAGCAGCAGCTAGGGCCACAGTAAACGTCGCAGCTAGGGAACGGGCTGCCGCAGCAGCCAAGACATTAGACATGTCTTCTGCAGCAGCAACATCCTTGGTTGCGTCTTCAACTGCGACCAATGGGACCATGTTGGGAACGCCAACAAGTTCCACGGGCACTTCCAGTTCAATGGGTTCTCGACAGTCTACTAGTCAAATGGCGGGCTCGCAGTTCAGCCCGTTGACCCCACGTGAGAGGGAGCTCAGAGAGATCCAACAGGTCGAGAGGCTCCGCCAGAAGTTAGAGGAGGACCTGAAGAAGGCAACCGATAGAGAAAGAAAGATGAAAAATAGAGCAGCCAGGCTTGATACTTTAGAGGCTGACAAGGTTGAGTTAGAGGGCTTGGATGAGTCATCAATGAATGACCAAATAAAAACACTGAAGAAGAATATGATGTCGTTGCATACACACGTGGACAGCAGATTAGACTTCATGCAKAGCCCTCTAGACCAGATCCTGGATGTATTGACAAGGCCAGGATTCAGGCCACCRGCACAATCGCCATTGCCGTTATCGACGATGTCAGGCCCTTTTCTAGTTCAAGCTGGTACACAACCAAGTGGTACGTCTGCAGCGGCCGCACAGACTGTTGCATCTTCTTCTTCGGGTCCAGAGGTGGGAGCTACACCACCGCAACAACCTGTTCCTCAACAGGGACAGCCGCAGGGTCAATGGTATCCTAAGACCCCAACGAAACCGCCTCTTGCCTNCTCAACAGGGACAGCCGCAGGGTCAATGGTATCCTAAGACCCCAACGAAACCGCCTCTTGCCTTCTCAGGCGAGAGAAAGGACGAAGAGCTCAACACTTGGTTGAGGACAGTCCCGGTTTGGGTGAAGGCCAAGAGGACCTTGCTGGAGGACGAAGTGGTTACCGTTGCATCTTACCTCGAAGGTAAGGCAACCAAATGGCTAGATGGTGTAGTTGTAAAAGCCGGGTACGGGCAACGCATGGCGGACTGGGCTAAGTCTTTAACATTAGACCAGTTCATGGAGATGGTAGAAGCTCGATGGCATAATCCACATGAGGCACAAAGAGCCACTGATGCGATTAACAAGTTAGACCAACGAAAGTTCAAGTCGGTTAGAGAGCTTACGACTACCGTCGAGAGTCTGATCCTTGTTCCAAGCATCAACTACAGTGACCAGTTCCTGTTAACTACATTTGTTAGATGTCTTCCAGAGAACATCAGGAACTTGCTGGCCAGTGAGGCACGCATCGAGTACCATTCGTTTGAGATATTGTCTAGGAAAGCCTTAGATTTGGAGGCCACTCTAGGCAATGCTCAACCCTCCCAGAATGACACGAAGAAGAAGAAGAGTCCTCAGGAGTGGAAGAAGAAGGGGGCGAAGTTGATGATGGTTGAGTCCGATGGGACTCAAACGGAAATCGATGAGCTCATTGGCCTGATGGACTACTCAGAGTACGACGCGAGGAGACTGCTGAGGGTAGCACCCTCGCCGCAGTTGTAAAGGCTAAGGCAGGTGGCCGAGGGAAGGGCCAACCAAGGAGTCAAGGGAAGGCCGCCTCCAATCAGACCAAGCAGGCTGATTGGGTGAAGGCAGGTCTTGATCAGGACGTGTGGCGTGACCGCCGAGTGCGTGGCGCTTGTATCAACTGCGGGGAATACGGTCACTCGCAGTACAAGTGCCAGAACGCAAAGATTACGCAAAAGATACCTCCAAAAATGGGGGCATCTTATTCCCAGGCTTCTAGCTCGAGAAACGCGTGAGGCCAGTGGAAGTTTTAGCTGCTTCTACTCTTGGTGAAGTGGGCCAGATACCCTGCCCACTCCACGAGAAGGCCAAAGCTAATGACTCTTTAGTCACCCCGCAGACTCATCTAGACCAAACTATGCTCTGTACGTTAGATGTGTCTGATGCCTTACAAGACTTGGAGAGTGAGTGGTCAAACAAGGACCCTCGCGAGTCTTCGGTGGCGCTAAGGAAAGGTCCTAGAGGGGAACATTTCGTGGTGGAAGTCGATGTAGGAGGCCGCAAATGTGGTGCCTTCATAGACATAGGCTCCACGCGGAATTACATAAGTCGCGACTGTTTGGAAAGGCTGCACCTACAGGACCGGCTACGGCACCTTAGTAGACCTGTAACATCTACTTTGGCCAACAAGAAGCGCATGATAGTAACAAACAATATCAAGGACGTAGTCTGTACCTTCTCCTATGGAGGAGGCGAACTTAATCATAAGATTTCATTCTTGGTTAGCGACGACTTACCATTCGACATGTTGTTAGGCATGTACTACCTCGAAGTTGCTTAGCCCAAGTTTGCCTGGGATAAGAAGGTGCTCAAGCATAAGTTGCCCGATGGCCGAACTGTCAGATTGACTAAGTTCAAGGCCAGTAGCATAATAGATACCTATGGCTGCTTGTGTGCATCAAGGTTCTACAATTACTACAAGCAAAACCAAGAGGAAGGTATGTACCTTGTATATGTCTCTGAGAAAGGGGAGGCCGTTAAAACACCCCCAGAGATAGAACACGTCGTTGCTAAGTTCCCTGATCTGTTTGAAGAGCCCACATGAGTTGTTGAAAGGGAAGTTGTCCACGCTATAGAAATCATTCCAGGGAGTAAGACCCCAAAGGGAAGAATCTATAGGATGGCTCCCGCCGAGTTAGATGAACTTCGGCAACAGCTAAAGGAGCTGACAGAAAAGGGATGGATTCGGCCTAGTACTTCCCCTTACGGATCACACGTTCTATTCGTACCAAAGAAGGGGGGTACATTGAGGATGTGCATTGACTATAGAGGCCTCAATGCCATCACTGTGAAGAACGGAGAGCCTCTACCTCGCATAGACGACCTATTGGATAGGGTGTAGGGATGCAAGTACTATAGCAAGATAGACTTGAAATCCAGCTATCATCAAATCGCAACACAAGACAGCTTTTCATACTCGTTATCGTCTGTATGAGTTTGTAGTGATGCCTTTTGGTCTTTGTAACGCGCCGGAAACATTCCAGCACGCTATGAATCGGATCTTCCATGACCATTTAGATAAGTTTGTTGTGGTATACCTTGACGACATTCTGATCTTTAGTAAGTCTGTCGAGGAGCACGCACAACACGTTGAGACTATACTTTCACTCCTGCAACAGCACAAGTATAAGGTCAACTTAGAGAAGTGTGAGTTTGGTCGCACTAAGATACTATACTTGGGTCATGAAGTATCTGCGGAGGGGATTAGGCCGGAAGATGCGAAGGTGGCTAGTATTCGAGACTGGCCACGACCTCAGACAGTCACTGAGGTCAGATCATTCTTAGGAATGTGCGGCTACTATAGGAACTTCGTTAAGAACTATTATACAGTCGCCTCTCCTTTGACTGATCTAACTCGACTTGACACGCCGTGGGACTGGAGTGATGAGTGCGAGGGTGCTTTCAAGAGATTGAAGCATGNTCTCCTTTGACTGATCTAACTCGACTTGACACGCCGTGGGACTGGAGTGATGAGTGCGAGGGTGCTTTCAAGAGATTGAAGCATGCACTCATGAACCATGAGGTCCTCATGGTTCCTGATCCTCAGAAGCCATTCATAGTGACCACTGACGCAAGCCAATATGGCATTGGCGCAGTGTTGGCTCAGCAGGATGGGAAAACGTTGAGACCGATTCAGTACATGAGCAAGAAGATGCCATCGAAGAATTGGCAAAGTCCACCTACGAAAGGGAACTCTATGCTCTATACAAAGCACTTGTCCATTGGAGGCACTTCCTATTGGGAAGGTTCTTCTACTTGAGGACTGATCATCAGACCCTCAAATGGATCAAGACTCAACCAGCTCTTTCTGACGCACTCAAGCGATGGATTGAGGTCATAGACCAATATGACTTCAAGCTTGAGTATCTAAAGGGAGAGTATAACAAGGTTGTTGATGCGCTATCACGTAGAGCAGACTACCTAGGTACGCTAGTTTCTGACTTTGGCGTATCTGAAGAAGTAACTCAATCATTGGTGGGAGCCTATCAGGAAAACCCTGTCACGATGGACATCATGCGCAAACTTCAGGCAAAAGACAAGCCCACGGAAAGTGAGTTTGTGATGGTGGACGATTTACTCTATCTTGATAAGGCCGGAATAAAAAGATTAGTAGTTCCATCTAGTGAGCGATTACGTAGTTTGTTTTTAGGCGAATGTAATGACGCAACTGGGCACTTTGGCTACAAGAAGACGAGTGTTAACCTAGTACAGCGATTTTGGTGGCCAGAAATGTTAGATGACGCAAAGAAGTACGTACAGACTGTCAGGTCTGTCAGCGGGACAAGCCGCGAACTCAAGCACCGCTTGGGTTGTTGAAGCCTTTGCCTATTCCTACTGGTCCAGGACAGAGTATTTCCATGGATTTCATGGACAACCTGGTGACTAGTAAGAGTGGCAAAAGGCACATCTTCGTCATCATCGATCGATTCACCAAGTACGCTAGGCTAGTGGCTATGCCAGAGACCGCAAGAACTGACTATGTCATCAAGTTGTTCAAAGACAACTTGGTGCGTGACTTTGGTTTACCAAAGTCAATCGTTAGTGACCGAGATGTCCGATTCACAAGTGAGTTGTGGAAGAAGATTGCAGAACAGATGGGCAGTCAACTTCAGATGACTTCAGGGAATCATCCCGAAGCCAACGGACAAGCCGAGCAAATGAACAGAGTTGTACACCACTTGCTGAGGCATTACATCAAGCCCAGCCAGGATGATTGGGATGAGCAGTTGCCTCTCATCGCCAGCCTGTACAACAATGTTGTCCACAGCAGTACCGGCGTTAGTCCTAATCAACTTCACTTGGGATGGAAGCCTAGATCAGCATTAGACTTCCTCCTACCTGAAAACCGACCCGCGGCAACTCCAGGCACACTTGAGTATGGTGTGCAGTATGAGAAGTTGCTGCAAGAAGTAATCGAGCACATGAAGAAAGCTCAGCAAGCAATGATTGCTTCTGAGAATCAACACCGTAGACAGTCCACATTTCAGGCAGGGGAACGTGTCTGGGTCAAGGCTAGTGAGTTAGGACAGGAATTCGGAATCTCTCGCAAGCTAATGCCTCAGTACTTTGGTCCCTGGGAAGTCTTGGATATAGTAGGAGATGAGATGGATGGCCCCACATATGTCATTCGTGTCCCTGGACACCTACGCACTCACCCAATCTTTCATGCCTCAAAGCTTGCACCTTTCGCTGAGACAGATCAATTCCCTTCCAGGAGATCGATGTTGCCCCCAACCATGGATGGTCAAGTGGACATCGACGACATTGTGGATCACAGGGATATGCCTGTTCCGAAGCCGCTGGGTCGAGGAAGACCTCCTAAGCCCAACAGAGAGTATCGCGTAAGATTCAGGCATCATACGGATCCAAAAGAAGATCGGTGGTTTACCAGAGAGGAACTGATTGAGACAGCTCCTCAGGTGGTGGCAGAATACGAGAGACTACTGAAAGAAAGGCACCTGCGAAGTAAGCATCTCAGCGGACTTTCGAAGCTACGGGGGATAGAATGTGAGGATTGAGCCCTCAAGAAGGGGCTTTGCCATGATGTACATGTTTTGGGCTAAGGCCCTAGCAAGCCTAGTGCCCGCCCTAAGTGAAGGCGGGCCAGCAAATCAACAAGAGCCCTCTGTGCAAACATTTCCCGAAGTGGGGTCCATACAGTTTGCAGAACGCCAGTTGGTTGGAGTGCACCGAGTCTCGAATCTCTGCAAATGTGGAGAACCCAGGGCCGCTGAGTTAGTTAGGCCCTGGGCACTTGAACGTGAGGCCGACAATGCATGTTGGGTATAGAGGCCGGAAATGCCAAAGAGAAATTAGCCCACTATCTGAATCTGGCCGCAGGCCTTGACGAAAGAGGCGCAACTGCATCACCCGGGCCCCAACTGCATCGGGCCTGGGTTCAGGCATTGGGGCCCAGTCGCAGGCTGAAGGGAGGCCGCCCACACGCAGCACTGGCATATAGGCAAGTAGGGCGAGTGGGCAGGCATTCTTGGCCAATGCAGGCATTGCGGGCACGCTGCGCTAATGCGAGGTGCTGCGCTGCGTTGGGACGAGGCAGGCTAGCGCTAGGCGGTAGGGCGCTGCCTGTGCACTGGGCGCTTGGCGGCCATAGCCGGGCTGCATAGGGCGCACAGGGGAGGTGAGGGCGAAGGTGGTTCTYTGGAGGTGAAGGGCGCTGTGTGGGTAACAAGGGAGAGTGTGGGTGAAGAGGACACGTACCTGGTGGAGGTGGAGGTCGGCATTGGTGTTGACATCATCACTCGCTGGTAGTCAAGTTGTCTGGTTGCTTTCATTGCCGTAGTTGTAGGCTTAGTCTGTAGAGTAGATAGGGCGCCTGGTGCCATTCATAAGAGAGAGCTACATTGGGTTATGCTGTTGGTGCTGCCCTGTTGGGCATGGACATTGACTCACGATTCTTCTGTATCATTCTCAATTGGATGGTTACTCGGTTCCATTGTGCTATTTGCTCTGGCTTTGACTACTTGGACTTCAGTGTGATTTTGCATTCTGGATTTCTGTGCTTCGTCCATATTCATGTTCCTTGCACCTACTGGAAGCTTCTTGGGACTGGACGCAGGCAGGCCACTTCGGTATAGCAAAGGGCCTGCCTCCTCATTCGACTTTGGGTGCTGGCTGCATGCTGCGCTATTGTGTTGGCTGGCGCCTACGTTCTCACGGGCGAGCAGGGAAGGAGCACGCAGCCATAGCCGAGTTGCGCTGTTGTAAGCTGGGTGAAGTGCAGGTTGGTCCTTGGGTGCTAGTGGCATCTGTGTGTTGGGGAACGAGGTTGTGAGTGTGGCGAGAGACATACCTGGTGCTGGAAGCGTGCGACATTGGTCGCCATATGCTCGTACTTCGGGAATGTTGTTGACGTCATCTTTCGGAATCGTAGTGTAGGCTAGATAGGATCTGCCACATGTAATCTGGGCGGTGAGCGCCAGATAGGATATCAACTCTGGTTCTTCGTTGATGACGATGGGACTATTTCAGCATTGTCAATTATGAACTCTTGGTGTGTTCTTATTTGGTGAATCTCGTGATGCAATTTCGCTGTTGGTTCGAGGTCACAACTATCTGGACTCATATGTATGATGTTGTTTGATTGCTGAAGTTCGCTATTGTTCATCTTCCTTGCATTTTGGTATCGGAGTTGTGGTTCGATTGCGCTCATCTGGCGCTTGCCTTTTGCCTTATTCGGTACATACATGCATTTTGCTGGGCAAGTTTGGCCGTAAGTGGTGTGTAGTGAGGAGGGTGGAGACGAGTGGTAGGCGACCTAGGAGGTGAGGGCTATCGCCTGGAAGGCTACGTGGTGTGTATATTGGGTGTTTACGGTGTGATGAGAACTATCTGGTGGTTGATTGATGCTGAGGTGGAACAACGAGATAATGCTGGTTGTGCCGATGCAGTGACTGGTCATCGCAATCTCCATCAGGTCATCAGGTGAGAATATCTGTGGTTGGGGGCAGCTATATTGAGATACGTTGCTCTTAACCTTATCTACCCTCTTCGACACTTCTTACCGTGAGGTTGTGTGTCCCATCTTGTGAGTCCTCTCATGTGAGGTGTCGTGTGCGCTCAATCTTGAGAGTCGGCATACTTCCTGTGGAGCATCTGGAAGGAGAGGGCGTTGCTTTCTGAAGGGCCCTGGACGAAGCACTGGGTCATGGTCACCATGCCAACCCACCGGGGAGTAGAGCACGCATGCTTTGCTGCTTTGTCCTTGTCTACTTGTTGCGCTCATAGATGGGTATTGTTGGGCAGGCCAGTCCTACGGGAAAGACGAGAACCCGGCGTTTATAAATAAACACGGGTAGGGGATATCACTGGCTGTGATCGTCGTCCTGCAGCGACGTAAAATAATTCCTGATGTCACTTGGGGGCAGACGTTAAAATGCCTCTTGATCAGCCAGTGATGTAAGGCTCGCGGCACTCCGAGGGTAAATATGCGTGCAAGGCTGGCCAGCTCAACAACTACTCGGGGCACAGGGGTGGGCCGTGTGCACACCTTTAGTCACGCATGCTACCGGATTGCTCAGGAACGCTGACGTCAAGTGACAATCAAGTGGGGATTGGGGAACAGGGTAGATTCCAGGTGATCAGTTCGTGTTAGATCCCATGATGTGAACAGACCCAGTCAAATGATATTATTTTTATTTTGATTAGTTAGATGGACTGCCATTGACATCTGACAGATAGCATTAGTTAGAACAGTTTCTTGTTCATGGTGCATCTGTTTGCGGACTAGTCAAACTAAAAATAGTGTCGTTTGTAGGAATTTGGACTTACCTGTTAGAACCCGAATGTATCTGCTCCGGAATAGCCACCAATTGAGTATTTATTTATTTTAAATTGGTCTGTGCACTCTGTTGCGGTAGGCATCTTGAATGACCTAGTGTAGACGGTGTACAATGCTGTAGCATATGAGCGACCAGGAGGACACTGGAGAGGACAATCGGATATTGCGATCGGCAAGGCGCCCAGTAGCCCATTTGGCATTAGGACCAGAGGGCGACAGACATCTGTTCCGCGAGCTTAGGGAGAGGCAGCAGCAGCAGAGGAGAGCTAGAGCGGCCGAGGCCAGCAGGGCTTTAGCTAGCGAGGCCGCTGCTACAGCAGCCATGGCCACTTCCGCTATGGTCACCTCTGCACAACAGACTTCCCAGGCCAGCAGTTCAGGTATCGTCGGGTCAACGGTCGCGCAGACCGTGAGTCAGTCCACTGGCGTGATGGCAAGCCAGGCATTAGTGTTGACTCCAGAGGATGTCGCCATCCAGCAGGCAGCCCTGCAGGAGGCACAACTATAGCGGGCATTAGGAGAGATAAAAGCGGAGAAGGAGAAGATGATCAGAAGAAGAGCCAGGATGCAGCGGAGAGGGGCAGACATAAAGGAGTTAGAGACGATGGACCTGACGAACATGGATGATGATGTGAGGGTAGTTAGGAAGGCCCTGCTAGGAGTAATAGAGATACAGGAGCATCAGACTACCATCCTTCAGGATATCCAACAAAGCCTAGCCGTATTGGCAGGGCGTGCTCAGGCAGCACCATCACCGCCAGGGCCTGGTGCCTGGCCTGTGGCATATCCTCCTCTTTTTGTCCCACCAGTGACTGGGATATCCCCATACGTAGCCCCGTCGACGGTCGCAATTTCCCTGGGCATGCCGCTTTCAGGAAGGTTATCAGCAGGTCCTAGTGTACAGGTTCCAGTACAGTCAGTGGTCACCCAAACTCCGTCGCAGGTTGCCATTAGTGGGCAACCAGTTGTCTCACAGCCTGTGCAGCCACATGGTTCTCAGCCCCAGCAGCAACAGGTACAGCAAGCTGTTCCCCAGAGTCCACAGCCTGGACAGTTGGTGAAGACCTTGACACGTGATTGAGGTCTGTGTCGGTCTATGTCAGGTGCAAGCTTACCTTGCCGCATGAGGAAGTGTTTGTGGCTACGTCCTACCTGGAGGGTAGTGCAGCAAGATGGCTGAGCGGTCTGGTGCAGCTACAGGGATATGGTCATGACTTCCGCGCTTGGGCAGCCAGCCAAAAGCTGGGTGACTTTCTCAAGTTAGTGGAAGAGAGGTGGCATGATCCTCAGGAGGCTCAAAAGGCCACTGACGCGATCCTGACTCTGAGCGCTCGATCGTTCAAGTCAGTTAGGGAGGCCACAAACGCAGTAGAGCGTCTGATCTGTGTCCCTGGGGTTTGCTACGACCCCCAAGTCTTACTGACAACTTACCTGAGGTGTCTGCCGATGCCAATCAGGAATCAGTTGGCAGTTGAGGCTAACATCAACATGCACAACTTTCCCTCGTTTAGCAAGAAGGCCCTAGATCTTGAAGCTAAGATAGGGCATGGACATAACCCAACGACGGACGGGAGAAAGAAGACCCTGCCTCCTAACAGGAAAGCCAAGGGTCACATTATGTTCGTTGACAACCATGGTTCAACCATCGAGTTAGACGACGACCCCCAGTCAGGAGTAGGTGCAGAGGCAAGTGGCGAGACTTCAAAGGGTGGAGTAGTCGCCGCTGTAACTCAACAAAAAGGTAAGGGGAGTCAGGGGACCGGTAGACGCCGAGGGGGCTCCCGGTCTAGGAGTCAAGTCGACCCCAATGCTCCTCCATGGGAGAAAGTGGCTCTTTTAGAGGACGTTTGGAGAGATCGGTGGAACCGACAGGCCTGCATCCGTTGTGGCCAATACGTCCATAACCAGTTCAAATGTAGGAACAAGAAAGTCATCGAGAAGATCCCGCCTACTATGGGGCAGGCGGTAGGATCCTCCGCTCCCGTAGGTAGCAATGTTGCCAGTTCGTCAGGCACTGCTCCGGGAAACACGTCAGGCCAGTAGGAATGGTAGTTGTTCCTACTAGGGTCGAGGTGGTGGAGACACCCTCGCCATCTCGCGATATGGACCAAGCTACTGACTCCCCCGTCGTCCCGCAAACACATTCAGACCCATCGACCCTCTGTTAGATGAATGCGTTTGAATCCTTAGAGGAGCTAGAGGAGGAGTGGTCTAGATCAGACCCGCTAGCTGCTTGGACGGCCTTGGCTAAAACTCCTAAGGGTGAGATGTTCGTCAGCGAGATAGTCATAGGCGGTCGCAAGACTGGGGCCTATTATGACACTTGCTCGATGAGGAATTTTATTAGTCGCGTGTGCGTTGAGAGGCTGCACTTACAGGGGCGAGTGCAACGCCTGAGTTGACCTGTGGAGTCGACCTGTGCCAACAAACAACGCCTGGTAGTTAATGACTACCTTCATGACGTTGAGTGCCTGTTCCCATACGCGGGAGGGGAATTGAGGCATCGTGTCTCATTCCTAGTGAGCGACGATCTCCCCATTGATATCCTGTTGGGTATGTACTACCTCTCGGTTGCACAACTCCAGTTTGACTGGGACCGAAAAGTGGTCAAACACACCTTGCCAGGTGGAGGAACCGCCAGATTACATAAGTTTAAGGCTAGTAGTCTGATTGAGTCCTATGGGTGTGTGTGTGCGGCCGCGTTCTACAATTACTATAAGCAAAACCAGGAGGAGGGTATGTATCTAGTTTATGTCTCTGCTCCAGGCGAGCCGGTGAAAATGCCGCCGGAGATAGAGGGAGTAGTTGCCAAGTACCCTGATCTATTTGAAGAGCCGACAGGGGTTGTAGAGAGGGAGGTCGTCCACGCGATAGAGATTATCCCAGGGTCTAGCATCCCGAAGGGTAGGATCTATCGGATGTCTCCAGGCGAGCTTGATGAGCTTTGCCGACAACTCAAGGAACTAGTAGAGAAGGGTTGGATCCGGCCGCCTCAATGCCATCACTGTAAAGAACAGAGAGCCCCTACCGCGCACCGATGATCTGCTTGATAGAGTGCAAGGGTGCTGGTACTTCAGTAAGATAGATCTGAAGTCCGGGTACCATCAGATTGCAATCCGACCCGATGTCCACACAAAACTGCCTTTCATACTAGGCACGGTCTGTACGAGATTGCGGTGATGCCTTTCGGCCTTTGCAATGCTCCTGGCACCTTTCAACACGCTATGAATCGGATATTCCATGACTACTTGGATAAGTTTATCATCGTGTACCTCGATGACATACTTATCTTTAGTAAGACTGTCGAGGAGCATGTTGCACATTTGGGCAAAGTCCTCAGCCTCCTGTGACAACACAAGTTCAAGATCAACGGTGAGAAGTGCGAGTTTGGCCGCACCCGTGTCTTGTACTTGGGTCATGAGATATCCGCGGAAGGGTTGAAGCCCGATGACGTGAAGGTGGCCAGCATTCGTGATTGGCCACGTCCTCAGTCTGTGACTGAGATGAGATCTTTCTTAGGGATGACCGGCTACTATAGGACCTTCGTAAGGAACTATAGCATAGTGGTCGCCCCTTTGACTGATCTGACCCGCCTTGACACCCCATGGGAGTGGACAGATGAGTGCTGCTTTCAGTCATCTGAAGCATGCGTTGATGCACTACGAGGTCTTGAAACTTTCTGATCCTGACAAGCCATTTGTAGTCACCACGGATGCCAACCAATATGGCATTGGCGCTGTGCTTGCACAACAGGAGGGGCCAAAGTTGAGGCCAGTCGAGTACATGTCGAAAAAAATGCCATCTCAGAAGTTGGCAAAGTCCACCTATGAGAAGGAACTCTACGCCGTGTACAAGGCTCTGACCCATTGGACGCATTATCTCCTTGGGAGGTTCTTTATCCTCAGGACTGATCATCAGACCTTGAGATGGATGAGAACACAGCCGGTACTTTCCGACACTCTAAAGCGTTTAATCGAGGTCATCAAATAGTATGACTTCGACCCCCAGTATCTGAAAGGAGAGTACAACAAGGTTGCAGATGCCTTGTCGCGTAGACCTGATTTATCAGGTGCGCTAATTACTGAGTTCGATCTAACGAATGATGTGACTCGCTCTTTGGTGGAAGCCTATCGCGAGGATCAGTTCATGTCTGAGATCATACGCAGACTTGAGGCGAAGGACAAAAGGACTTCTGCCGAGTTTGAGTTGGTCAATGGCTTGTTGTTCCTTGAAAAGGTCAGGAATAAAAGATTGTGTGTACCAAATAGAGAGTCTTTGCGTAGTTTATTTTTAGGAGAGTGTCATGACGCCACCGGCCATTTTGTGTATAAAAAGACCGCAGCTAATCTGCTGCAACGGTTCTGGTGGCCTACGATGATGAGAGATGCCCAACTGTACGTGGAAACTTGTCAGGTTTGTCAGAGAGACAAGCCACATACACAGGCCCCTCTTGGGCTCTTGAAGCCACTTCCGATCCCGGAAAGGCCTGGTGAGAGTCTGTCCATGGACTTCATGGATACTTTGATCACCAGCAAGAGTGGGATGCGACACATCTTTGTCATCGTGGATAGATTTAGCAAGTATGCTAGGTTAGTGCCAATGTCGGAAACAACAAAAACGGAGTATGTCATCAGAATGTTCAAAGAGAACTGGGTCAGGGACTTTGGTTTACCGAAGTCTATTATTAGTGACAGGGATGTCCGGTTTACCAGTGAGTTGTGGAAGGCCGCTGCTGCAGAGTAGGGAACTCAGTTGCAGACGACTTCTGGGAATTACCTGGAGGCCAACGGTCAGGCCGAGCAACTGAACCACGTTGTACAACACCTATTGAGGCATTACATCAAGCCCAACCAGGTGGACTGGGATAAAAAGCTTGCTCTCATCGCCAGCCTGTACAACAACGCTGTACACAGCGCCACCGGGGTGAGCCCAAACAGCTTACTGCTAACATTTAAGCCTAAATTGCCCCTAGACTTTCTTCTCCCAGAGAATCAATCCACTGCTGCACAAGGTACCCTAGAATTTGCTTACAGCTATGAACAGAAGATGCAGCAGGCTGTAGAACAGATGCAGAAGGCGCAGGCTGCAATGATAGAGTCTGAAAATAGACACCGTCGTCCTTCTACATTTCAGATTGGGGATAGGGTCTGGGTTAAGTCTTCAGAACTGGGACAGGAGCACGGGATCTCCCGCAAACTCATGCCCCAGTACTTTGGACCCTGGGAAGTCTTGGACATCGTAGGGACAGATCCGGATGGGCCATCCTATGTTATCCGGATCCCTGGTCATCTCCGTACTTACCCTGTTTTTCACGCCTCCAAGTTAGCACCTTTCAAAAAGACTGATCAGTTTCCTTCTCGTCGCTCAATGCTGCCCCCAACCATGGATGGAGAAGTGGACATTGATGACATCATGGATCACAGGGAGCTGCCAGTTCAGAGACCTACAGGCAGGGGACGTCCTCCGAAACCGAAGCCGCAGTACCGCGTTCGGTTCCGACATCATACTGMTCCCAAAGAGGACCGCTGGTTCACGAGGGAAGAACTCATGCCGACCGCTCCTCAAGTTGTATCTCAGTATGAGAAATCTCTGCAGAAAGGAAAGCGCYCGATGGTCGAGGATTGAGCTTCTCAGAGGACTGTTGAAGCTAAGGAGGAGGGAATGCGAGGCCACTACCTCTGTGAGCCCCTTTCGGCCCCTCTTTTACAGCCCGTCGGCCGCCCTAAGTGAAGGCAGGCCTGACGAGGCCTTCAGGGCCTTATTTCGGCCTTTGCGCAACTCAGGAAATTCAGGCAGTTGCTCAGCGCCAGTTGGTTGAAGAAACCCAGGCCCTGGGCCGCCTGTGTGAATGAACGGAAAGCAGGCCCTGGGCTGGATACGGCTACTGGGCCACACACATGCCAAAGGCAGTTGGGCACACGCAACTACCGCAGGCTACAGGCCTGTGCTCGATCGTATTGGGCCTCAGGCTACCGGGGCCTACTGGAAGCTTCCTGGGACTGGACGCAGGCAGGCCACTTCGATATAGCAAAGGGCCTGCCTCCTCATTCAGCATTCGGGTGTTGGCTGCATGCTGCGCAAGCGCTACTGCACTATTGTGCTGGAGGGCGCCTACGCTCTCACGGGCGAGCAGGGAAGGAGCACGCAGCCATAGCCGAGCTGCGCTGCTGTAAGGTGCTAGTGGCATCTGTGTGTTGGGGAACGAGGTTGTGAGTGTGGCGAGGGACATACCTGGTGCTGGAAGCGTGCGACATTGGTCGCCATATGCTCGTACTTCGGGAATGTTGTTGATGTCATCTTTTGGCATCATAGTGTAGGCTATATAGGATCTACCACATGTAGTCTGGGCGCCGAGCGCCAGAAGGATATCAACTCAGGTTCTTCGTTGATGATGATGGGACTATTTTAGCATTGTCAATTATGAACTCTTGGTGTGTTCTTATTTGGTGAATCTCGTGACGCAATTCTGTTGTTGGTTCGAGGTCACAACTATCTGGACTCATATGTATGATGCTGTTTGATTGCTGAAGTTCGCTATTGCTCAGCTTCCTTGCAAAAAAATAAAATAAAAAAGAAATCCGGAATATTTTTATTCCGAAATCCGTTTTTTTTTTAAACGGTACAGGAATCCCTCTTGCAGTTATCATTCTCCAACTGCGCGTACTCTCATCTGAGTAATTCCAAAGTTTTTTGTACTTCGTTTTCGGAATTCTTTTACCAGAAAATCATTTGCGGTCTGAAAGTTTGATGTTTTTTTTTCAGATAATAATTGATAATTCCGCACTTCAGGGGAACTTGGGGGCCTACTGAACTTGCAAACGAGTATTTTTCTTTTTCTCGAATTTTTTTGCAAAGTTCAAACTTTTCTTTTTTGATTAGTGGCTCCTTATCTGCGGGATTTATCTCACTCCTCCCCACCTATGTTGTTGCCCCTTCTCGTCTTCTCTATCTGCCTCCGGGTACTCCCTGCGGCGACATTGGTGAGTTGCCACGTCAGCAGGCCACGGCAGCAGTGCCATGTCAGCAACCAGTCACCGCAGCAGCAGGTCATGTCAGTGCATGGTGCTCACCCGCTCAAAGACAAGCGGCATGGAGCAGCAGTCAGGCGAGACTACCAAGACCTATAAGACCCGCATGCTGGACATGGTAGCAGAGTTCAAGCAACGGGCAACGACAACATCCGCACGTAAGAAGGAAGATGAGGAAGCAGAGGAACAGCGTCGCCTCGCTGAACAGCAGCGACAAGATGACGCTGACACAGCAAGGAAGGCTGCAGACGAACGTCGTCGACTACGCCGAGACAAACTCCTCGCCGGCGAATGGGCAGTGGCTGCTGAACAGGAGGGTGCCCCCTCTGCTGTGTGTGGCCTTGCCACCACAATCGAACATGTGAGCGACTTGGTCGCCACCTGTGCAGCACAACAAGGGGACATCCTCTGCGTGGACACCCTGGTCCGGAAGCGGATTCGAATTATTGATGAACTGCTTGACCGGGTACGCCGGCTGGAACAACAACTTGCAACAGCCACCCCCCCGGACCCTCCAACTTGACTGACCGCGTCAACGTCTTGGAAATCGACGTTGAGACTCACAAGGACGGCGCTCTAGCGACAAATCAGCGGATTGACCAGCAGATTTGTGCTGCCACCGCCAGTCCGACCGCGACTACTTGCGAGAGCATCCCAAAGTTTGACGGGCTGCCGATCTTCTGCGATGCAATGAAGACAGACCCGATCCCATGGTGGCGGCAGTTCGAGTTGAAGTTGGACATTCACCACGTCATCACCCCGTACCGGCACGTCATCAACCCGTACCGGCACACATACATATACTCCAGCTCAGGGGGCACGTGCCAGACGTGGCTGGACAACATGTTGTCCACGCATAACGTCACAGTCTTCGAGCTGCATACGAAGATCAGCTGGGCTGATCTCAAGGCAGCATGGCATAAGCGGTTCCAAGTGGAGCCGCCCGAGCTTCAGGCAGCCGAGAAGCTTCAACGGTTCTATCAGAACGACCTGCCAAGCACGGACTGGATCACCGAGTACCAATGCTTGGCATCCACGCCCAACTTGTCATCTACATTTGTCGCGATCAAGCACTTCTTCATCAGAGGAGCTGCCAGACGTTGCAGAACGCCTTGACGCAAGTTGCGGAGACGCTCATGACAAGTGAGCAGCTTTTTTATAAAGCCTCGCAGGTCATCGTGACGAATATCGAAGCCAAGAATTTGGGCCTTTCGTCTGCTGCAGGCCAGGGCAGAGGACAACATCGGCCGAAAGTGGCCGTGCTCGCAGCAACTACAACTACCGACCCTTCAAACGAGGCTGCCTCTTCTAAGGAAGGAGACAGATTGGTAGCCGCCCGGGATGGTGGCCGCCCCGCCAGAGGGCGAGGACGTGGCAAACCGAAGACACACACCAATTCAGCCCCCGGGGCCGGACCAGCGGCTCAAGAGCCATAGACACATTACGGTATCTCGGAAAGCGTGTACCGCATCTGTACTAAGTACCGATACTGCTTGTGCAACAGCGCGGTGCACGACACCGCAACGTGCCCCACGCCAGTCAAAGGTAAATTCCCTTCGGGAAATTGAGCACCGCCAAGAGTGATGCGGTTGCACTCTCGACCCCTTCGAAATCGGTTGCTTCGTGAGCGACCTCTCTTCATTTCGAGGCACATGCGGAAGTTGACAGTCCTCTCTTGTATTCTTATGAGGACTATGTTGCTCGGCTCGTTTCTTCGCTGGATTCTCAAGATCAAGGACAAGATGTGTGTGCGGTTTTTTCTCTGTCCGACAACAGCAACAATGGATCGTCTTCAAGTGGTTCTTCAAGGGATTCGATGCACGAGTTCAACATAGAGGTCTTGGACCCGTTGACGTCCGAGGATTTTGCATGGCTTCCTCTCCCTTCCACAGACTGCTTGTCGGGACCACAATGCGCAGCACTATGCGTCCATCTCCACACATACTTAGCCTTCTATGCACCAGGATCTTCTCCGATGGATGACGAAGCTGCTGTGGGGGACATCCTTGCGTATGTTGCCAAGGTGGCCCGTGAGTTTTGCATGCAGCGGTACGATGATAACAATGCACCGCTCCTTTATGTCTGCATCCAAGTTGGGCAAGCGTCCTGCAGGGCTTTGGTGGATAGCGGTGCGACTCGCAATTTCATCAGCCAGTCCTTTATCCAAAGGGCCGGCCTTGGCGCTCAAGTTCGAAGGAAGCCAAACCCGACGGCGATCAAGTTGGCGGACGGTCGGACGCAACAACTCCTCGATCGCTACATTGAAGTTGTACCGGTTTATTTCGCACCTCGTGCATGCGAACCGGTGACGTTTGACGTCTTAGACACAAACTTCGACATTATTTTGGGGATGCCTTGGCTTGCAAGTGCGGATCATATGATTAACTTCCATCAGCGGGCACTTGCCGTTCGCGACGCCTTCGGCGCCGAGGTGTCGTGTACTATTCCTCTTCCGCACTCCTCAATCCGTTGCCAAGTTGTAACGGCCAAGTCTTTTCGGGCCACTTGCGCTTATGAGTGGACCGACGCGATAGGCCTATGTTTTCTACGAGCCGTCGCGACCACCGAATCTTCACCTACAAACTTGTCTTCGGACCCTCGAGTGGTGCGGCTGCTGGACGAGTTCACCGATATCTTCAAGTCTCCTACCGATGTGGTGCCGGATCGACTGATCTCCCACGAGATCATTCTTGAGGTCGGTGTCGTTCCGCCGAAAGGATGCATCTATCGTATGAGCCAGGAAGAGCTCGCGGTTCTCCACGCTCAACTCGACGATTTTTTGGACAAGGGTTGGATCCACCCTAGTAGCTCACCATCCGGTGCGCCAGTTCTCTTCGTACGGAAGAAGAACAAGGATCTCGCTTGTGCATCGACTACTGCAAGCTCAACGGACCAACCGTCAAGAATGAGGGACCTATTCCGCGGATTGACGACCTTCTTGAGCGTTTGGGCGGCCCAAAATTCTTCTCAAAGTTGGACTTGAAGTCGGGCTACCATCAAATCTCGATACGCCCGCAAGAGTGCTAAAAATCCGCGTTCAAAACGTGGTACGGGCATTTTGAGTGGATCGTTATGCCTTTTGGCCTCACCAATGCCCCAATGACCTTTCAAGCGACAATGACCAACGAGTTTCATGCGATGCTGGACCGGTTCGTACTAGTCTAGACGACATTCTCGTCTATATCTGGACATTGGAAGATCATTTTGAGCACCTTCGACGAGTGTTGGAGACGCTCCGCCACGCCAAGTACAAAGCCAACCGCGACAAGTGCGAATTTGTCTGGCAAGAGCTGGAATACTTGGGCCATTTTATCACACCGGAGGGCATCAGTCCATTGTCGGACAAGATTCAAGCCATCCAAGAGTGGTCGGAGTCGAAGACCGTCACAAATATTTGTTCCTTCCTTGGCTTAGCCGGCTGCTATCAATGTTTCATCAAGGGATACTCGAAGATCGCGGCTCCTTTATCCAGGCTTGAATGTGAGGACCGGCCATTCGACTTCGACGACAATCCGCGAACTTCCTTTTTGGCTCTCAAAGCCGCATTGCTATCCGCGGAGGTGTTGCGCATATACAATCCGCTTTTGCCGACACGTGTCACTACTAATGCGTCCAACTATGGCATTGGTGCCGTCCTCGAGCAACATGACGGTGTGGACTAGCACCCGATCGAGTACTTTAGCAAGAAAGTGTCCGTCGTGCACTCTATTGACGACGCACGGAAGAAGGAATTATTGGTCTTCGTACACGTGCTCAAGTGCTGGCGGAATTTTCTTCTCGGTCGACGATAATTCCGATGGGTAATGGATAACAATCCCTTGGTCTTCTACAAGACCCATGACACTGTCAATAGCACCATTGCTCGTTGGATGGCCTTCATCGACCAGTTTGACGTTTTCCCCGACCACATTCCGGGCAAGTCGCACCGTTTTGCGAATGCTCTTTCACAGCATCCGGACCATTGCGCCACAGTCTACTCAACTTTTGAGATTAACGGCAACTTGCGGGACAGCTTCATCCACTGCTACCAAGTCGACCCCGAGTTTTGCGACAAGCACACAAATTGCTCCTCTCCTAATCCGGCGCCATCGCACTATCGGATCCAAGAGGGGTACTTGCTCGTCCACTCGCGAGGAAAGGATCAAATTCTAATACTCCAAATGACATCAAATTTGACACAAAGAAAGCTTGTCCAAATAAAAAAACAAGCAAAAAAAAAAATCCAAAAAAACATAAAAAAACCCTAAATTCAGGATCATTCACGATCATCCATCGTTACCGAGGGCCAAAAAGTGGGGGTCCCTGTTAACCGCTTGTGCGGACACTTTGGAGTCAATCGTACGATTGACCGACTCCGCGAGCATTTTTGATGGCCCGGTGTCGGGACTGGTGAGTCCCGAATAACATCCCATCACTCGAGAGACTGTATACGGCAGATTTGTGCACAGCAGAGAAAACCGGAGGCAAGAAGGACAGAGAGTGTTCGAGCACTGGTATCAGGGGGCATGGAGGTTGCCCGGGTTGTCGGGGCCACGGGATCATGAGAGGAGTAGTCGAAGGGCAAGCGACAAGGGATTGCGAGAAAAATAGTCAAGGCGGCCGCTCCCCCGGAAAAGGAGAGGGACCGCATAAAGAAATAATGACATGGGGCGCGCGCCGCAAGAAAACAAAGGAAGAGAGAAGATGACAGGTAAGGTGCTGGCGCGTGAAGACGTAGCCCGGACCAAGAGGGCCACCGGGATGCGACGTCAAGGAGAGCAAGGGGGCCACAGACCAAGTTAGAACCCGCGTCCAGAAAGGACGGTGCACGGGACACAAGAAGGACAAGGGAAGGAGGCCGCCATAAGGCGAAAAAATGACAAAAGTATCGGGGGCCACCAGCGGGACAAAGTGTCGGGGACCACATGGGATTAAGCAAAAAATGCGGTATCGGGACAAGTACCGGCGGGACCACCAGCGGGACTAGTGTCGGGGACTAGCGCGAGACAAGTGACGAGGACTTGTGACGTCCCAAGGGAAAATGGTAGCGTGGCATGTGGTGCAAATAATTAAAGCAAGTTGCACCGTCAAGATCGCAGATCTTGACGGCCAAAATATTAGCACTGTGAGAGCAAGTGGGAAGGCCAAAAGAAAAATAAAGAGCGAAGAAACAAGTGACGGGGGGCATGGGAGCAATCCAAACGGAGGCTCTTGTGGGCATGAGAGGGCCACAAGTGCAGTCCGAGAAATAACGGACTGGCCCTTGGGCATAGGAAGGGCCAAAACTAAAAGGAAGGACCTAGAAAAGGGCCTTAACGGCCACTTGACACTTGGCATGCAAATAAAAATAAAATAAAAGAAAAAGAAAATGGGATGTGAGAGAGGATGAGTGAGTTGGCCGTCAGTTGGGACTGCAGCAAGTAGGGACTGACAAGTCCCAACTGTCCACAAGTGGAGGAAAAAAAAAAGAAAAAAAAAGAAAAATGAGAAAAGGGCCTTAATAGCTAGTTCACACTTGGCATGCAAAAAGAAAAAGAAAAGAAAAAGAAAATGGGAGGTAAGAGAGGATGAGTGAGTTGGCCGTCAGTTGGGACTGTAGCAAGTAGGGACTGACAAGTCCCTACTGTCCACAAGTGGAGGAAAAAAAAAAGAAAAAGAAAAAAAAAGAAAAAGAGAAGAAAAGGGGGAAAGTAAAAAAAAAAGGGTATTAACGGATGAAAACGGCCACCTAGGAAGGGCATTTTGGACCAGATTCATTTTGGCATATGGCGGTTACAAAGGACTTTGATTTTCTTTGATTTATGCAGAGAAAATCAAAGAAAATCAAGGCCCCTTGCAACCGAAAAATAACGGATCACCTAAGGGAGGCCAAACACATGTTTTAGGTGCACCGGGAGCCAAAATGGAGACTAGATGCACTTCAGAGTTGACCGCTCCTTTTTCTTTCAGTTAGGGGCTAGATGTGGGGCATTGGGACAAAGAAAATAGCCCCTACTGCAGTCCGAGTTGCAGCGGACTGCATGGGGAGGGGCCAACACATGCTTTGAGTGCTCTGGAAACCAAAATTGAGCCCGAAAGCACCTAGAACTTTAACGCTGCATTTTCTTTTAGCATGGGGCATGTTGTGGGGCTGTGGGACTAGAGAATTGGTTGTGACTGCAGCCCGGGGAATAACGGACTGCATGGGGATGCCTAGGCCAAAGAAAAATAAGTCGCGGCACGCCCAAAAGGCTAGAAAATGGCACCGTAGGCGTAAGGGAGTATAACGACAAATGGTGACGGCGAAGCGGGGGTCCCGCGGCCGGGAACATAATCGGCACGCTTGAGGCAGATGTGAATGAGGAAATAGGACTGTCGGGGACATGGGGAGTTCCAAATAAAAATTGGCATCAACCGGGATGACGTCGGGGACCAAATGGGTCCAAATAAAAATTGTCGAAAATTTGGGGTTTGTCGACGGCGCCGCCGGTGGGACAGAAAAAATGGAACTAGCGTGAGGAAGCGGCGGGGACTTGGGGKGTCCCAAGGGAAAACCATTAGCCAATGTAGAGAGTGGCCATGCAAGGCAAACGGCACCGCCGAGATCCAAGATCTTGACGGTGGAAAATATTAGCACCACTAGTGGAAGCACTAGTGCAACTTAAACGGGCGAAACGGGAATGGAAACAAAGAAAAATGAGTGAAGGGAGGGCTGCCCAGCAGTCCGAGATATCTCGGACTAGCTAGGCATGAGAAAATAAAAGCCCAAGGGGCTCCATGCAAGAAAACAGTTGGCCAAGGGAAATCGGAGCCAAGGGGGCTCAAAATCGGACAAAAGGGAGACAAAATGGAGCCCCCTAGGAGCTTGGGGGTGACACCATTGTAATCCGGGATATAATGGCCAACAGTCGGCCGTGAACCTGACCATGAATCAGGTTTTAAGGCCTAGAAAGAGGGAGCACAGTAGTTTGACACTTATCGCAGCAAAAATAAAAGAAAAAGAAAAGAAACATGAGAGAAAATGGAGGGAGAATGAGACAAAACGGGAGAAATGGCTGGAGGAAAATATGTCGGCCTATTGGGACTGCTGCAGTAGGGACTGGCAGGTCCCAATGATGACCTCATCCCTCCTAAATTGAAGGAGGGTAGGCCGGATTGTTGAGATATGGTCCTTGGGGCCATATCTCCACAATATCTGAATTAAAAAAGGCAAAATGAGAGAAAATGTAAAAATAAAAAGGCCGGTTTTCTTTTGGGTCATGGATCTGAGATCATATCTCATGGTGGAGAGGAAACAACCGTTTTTTGTGGGCCAGCTCAAAACGGCTAGCTCCGGAATGAGGTGGCAGCCCAAAATGGAAAGAAAACAAAAGAGGGAAAAAGACAGAACAGCGCATTTGGTCCAAAAAGAGAGCCAGATGTATCAAAAATTGAAAAACTGAGCATAGGGGCTCAAATTTAAAGCAAGGACCACCATGGGGTAGCTCGGAATAATGGTGGTCTTGGATCTCAGCCTGATCCAAGGCTGAAAATGTGCCGCCACATGGAAAAATGCTCCGACCTACCCAAGGGAGGCCGAAACTTGAAAAAATCGAGAAAAAGGCCCATTGACTTACTTCACGGGCGAGGACTCTGGTTCAAATCCAGGATAGCCCATTTATTCTTTATTTGTTGCACCTTTCTGTTATTTGAATTTTAGTCTAATTCTAGAGAATATAGAATAGAATATATCTATCATATAGAATA